AGTAGGTTAATTGTAAACTGTCTACTGAAGCTTTAAAACTCCTGTCCAGCCTTATTATTAGCAGTTTAAAATTTATGGAGCGAGACTTTGCTTGGTGATAGTTGGTTTCTGCCCAGACGACGTGTGCAATTAATCCCCACGCTGGGAGAAGGAAAATCAAATATAAAGGTTTTTTTTTCCATCTCCTTTTCGCTCTGACACATCTCGGGGCGTGGAAGGGACCTGGGAGGGATGTGGGGGAGAAAAACTGTCCTGTCTGAACCGGGGAACCACATGTGAGTTGTCACCCTGAGCCCTGAGGGTTAAATCCTGTTCAGTTGTGAGAAACTTTGTGCGGGAGGAAACTCCAGGCTGGAGACTCAACCAGTCCCCTGAGCCTGGGAGATTTGAAGTGGATCTGGAATCTGTGGAGTGCAGAGCCTCGTGGGGTTTTTAAGAAGGGTGACAGAGGTGTTGCCAGAGCAGGGGTGGGATCTGACCTGCTGCAGGGCAGGGGATGGGGCTGGGTTGCCACCACCCTGGTTGCTCCCCCCATACCTCTGCAGCTCTGACTCCGTGTGGGTGTTTTCCGCACGGGACGGCCACACGTTGTTCAGCCTGTGGGTTTCCTGAGCTGGAGCGATGACCTTGTTGAAAATGCACTTATTTGCAGGTGGAATAGCTGCGTGTGCCTGGCTGGGGCAGCCCCTGGGCCCGGCTGTGCCTCCCGTTGTTGCGCCGCTCTGTGCTCGCCGCGCTCGTGAGCGGCACAGCCCCGGCTCCCAGACCTTCTCCCTGCGAAATGTTTCAGCCACTGAAAGCTGAGAGCAGCTCCCAGGCAGGTCATTAATTAGAAACGTGAATTTGGAGGCTTGTTTCCCTTCCCTTCGCGGAGCTGCCGTTATTTCTTATTTCAAACGGGTTTTTATTGAGCCTTTTATAAACGTGACTTTGTTTTAAGGAAGGGGTGACTCCCCTCCCCACCCCAGCTCTGCAAACAATGAGTCTCAAAGCTCAGGCCGCTGGCCACTGATGGTCCCAGGCTCTGTGTGCATGTGTGAGCACACACAGGAGCTTGCACACACAGGGAATGAAAGTGGAATTTCACAGCCGCAGGGTTGGCTGAGCAGCTCTGATCCAGCTCCCCGTGCATGGGCCGGGCTCCTGGTGACTTCAATAGAGCCTGGCCTGGTTTATGAGCCTTGGGAGTGCAGCCTGGGCAGGGGCTGCTCCTATAAAGGCTATTGCCTGATTAGTAGTTGCATTACAATGGCACTTCAGGCCCTGTTGGGGCTCAGCACCCCATTAGAGCAGCCCCTGTGCAAACACGGAGCAAAGAGGTGGGCTCCGACCCAAGGAGGGAACAGCCGAGCTCTTTACAGCCCCCAGGGCACCCCAGGATCGATTATTTCTGTTCCAGTAGCACTTAGGGTGTGTCTGTGCCCACATGGATGCGGGTGGCTGTGATGGCTGGGGCCCGTTCCTGGGAATTTTGGGATCTGTGGATGGCGGGTGACACTGGGCTTGTAGCTTGACTTTGGAAATGGCCATGTGGTGATGGGCCACTCCTGCTCCAGAGGGGTTAATACTGCAGTGGAGGGAGTTTTGCCTTCCCCCAAAGAGGGCAGATGGCTGGAGGAGCAGGAGGGATCCTCCCCTCCCTCCCTTGTCACTGTGATCTGGGTGCAATGGGTGCCAGCACCCCTTGCTCTGGTCACATCCAGCCCTGCTGGGGGTGGCAGAGGGACAGCAGTGGCTCTGTGTCCTGCAGTGTTTGTGCATCCTTGACACCTGCTTCCCGAGAGAGGATCTGCTCCCATTCCATCTGCATCCACATCCCCAGCCAGCCAGAAAGGCAGGAGGTTGTGCTAGAGATGCTTAAGGTGTTTTTTTTTTTTTTTTTTTTTTTTTTTTGTATCCTCCCTGATTCCTTGGACCCGTTTGCGCCCTGAGTCTCTAAGTTCTCTTTCCCCACCTTTTCCATCTTTACAGCATCGAATCCAAGCATCTTAGCCGAATTTTTCTGGTGTCAGCAGAGAAAGGGGGCTCGTGTTTGCCCTCCCTTCCTGACACCTCTCCTGGGTGGCAGCAGTTCCCTGCCGGGAGCCGAGTGTGGTCCCGAGGGAGGCAAACGCCAGACGCAGAGGGGGAAACTCAACTCGCTGCTTTCACTTTTACCTACAAATCTCTGTCTCGCTGAACCACCTGATTCCTGGAACTGGGCCCTGAAAAGGGCAAAGAGAAACCCCAGCAACACCTTGGCCGTGCCGATCCGCGGCTGGTCCGTGTCCCAAACGCCGCAGCTGGGCAGGAGCCGCGGCCGATCCCAGGATCCCGGCACGGCACAGCTGGCTGCGAGCTGCTTGCCTTCCCTCTTGGAGAAAGCCCCGGCTTTCATGCGATGTCAACACCAACAGCTGGCTGGGGAAATGCAAACTGCGGCTCAGTTTGGGAGCAGCTGCCGCCGCTGCAGGCGGCCGGACCGGCACACCGGGGCATCACCGGGGCATCACGGGGAGCCGGGGCTGTGCCCTGGGGCTGCTTTCAAACTGTCTCCCCGGTTTTTTTTATTATTTTGAATAGCTTATTTTTCTTTCAAATAGCTTATTTTTCCTCTGCTCCGACGAAAAAACCCGAACCCCTCACTAAGGCAGACCGCGGCAGTGCAGGAGGACGAGCAACCCGGCGCGGGGCTCAGCCGCTCCCTGCCCACCCCCCCAACCCCTGCGGCTCTCTGCAGGTTCTTGGGGGGCTCCCCTCGTGCCCCCCACCCCGCCGGGCAGCTTTGCGGCCGCCCCGCTGCGCATCTGTCCCCGCGCCCGCCCTTATCTGCCGCGGCTCAAACCTGCCCTGCAGCATTGTGCGAGTTCCCTCCGGTTCATTTATTATTTCTCTCCCCACCCCTCCTGCTCTGCTTTCTAGCACACGGTGCCCTGAAGCTGCGCGGCTTTTCCAGCGTTTTTCTCCCTCTGCGTGTCCCTTTATCCCCCTCCCCACCCCGCGCAGGGCGCAGCCCCCCGGAGCGGTGGGTGGGCAGGAAGTTTGGGGCTGCGCAGGGACCCGCGTCCAGCTTTGGCTTTCCCCAGTGGAGGCCAAGAGCATTAAAGCCCACACCATGAGTAAACAGTGCAGAAATTACAGGTCCAGGGCTGGGTCATGAGCTTTGCTCTTTTGGTTTCTTGTGAGGAAGATATCCCCGGGATGCTTCCGGCGGGAAGGTGGAGCTCATGGAACGGGAGAGAGAGGGGAGCCAAGCAGGGCTGTGTTGGGACAGCAAAGCCACCGCACCCCCCGGGAGCAGCTGGGACTGTGCTGGGCTGCCTGCTCGGGGTCTGGCAGGGATCCCTGCCGGATCCCACGCAGACATCCCTGCTGGACCTGCCCCGCTCCCACCCTCCGGCTCTCGCTGCACCCAGTGCAAACAGGGGGAGGGATGTGAAGGGTCCCTGCTGACCCAGACTCCTGGAGAGGCAGGCGATGGCTATCGTAATTTTGGGATGTTTTCCAGCGTGTTGCTGGGTAACGGCCCATCCCACCCACACGAGCATCGGAAAGGCGCTGTCTGGTTTCTGGGATTGTTTCGGCAGTGCCGTGCTGGCCGTGGCCCCGCCGAGCTCTCCCCGAGGCTCCCGGCTGCTTCCTCGTCACAACTCCGGGAGCCGTGTTTGTTCTTTTATCCAAAGAAGCAGCAAAGCCAAAACTCGCAGCGGGCAAAGTCCGGCTGGGGGGCAGGGGAAACCCGCCGTGTGCTGCGGGGAAATGTCCGGGAACGGAGCGTTCCCAGCCCGCGGTGGCCGATGGCACAGGTGGAGTGACACTGACCCCAGTAACGCTCAGGGTAAACGAGTCCCTGGCAGGGAACCGGCTGAAGTGTAAAAACATCTCACCCCGCTGGGGAGGCTCGGTGTGGTGGCCACGAGCTCCGTGTGCTCCGGGGCTCCGGAGCAGGGCTCGCTGCTGGGATCAGGATGGCTTTTCAGCCAGGGAAAGAGTGCAGAGAGGATAAACTGCTGGCAAAGTGGTGTTTGCCCAGCCTGGGGGGCTGGGGCTGTGTGCTGTGCCTCGAGGTGCCCCACAGCAGCTCGGCTCTGGCGTGGGGCTGCCCTGTGCCAGCTCCCCGTGGAGCCTGGGACAGGCTGGGACATTTCTGCAGGAGTTTTCACGTGTGAAAACTGTGGCCTTGGAGGGACAGTCAGGGAGGGGACTTGCACAGACTGGTGTCACCAGCGAGCTCTGCAGTGACACCAGCAGTGGGGTGAGGTGGGAAAGCCATGGGCTGGGGCCTGCCTGGAGCACCCTGAGCTGCCCCAGAGGATTTAGTGATTCTTTGGGATGGATTTGATAGTGATTTATTTGGGATGGATTTGATAGGAAAAGCAATGTCTGGCTGAGCTGGGGGGTCTTTCCTTCCTGGAGTGTCTGTGCTGTGTTTCTGGGGGACCATGGCCCGGGGATGAGCAGTGACACTGATCCTCGAGGATGGCACATGTCCTGCTTGGCTCTTCAGGAGATTTTGGCTTTTTGATCAGTCTGGGCTGATGGGGTTGTGTTTGGCAGGATTGGAGGATTGCAGCAGTTTTGTAAGAATGACCTGAAAGCCTTTCCCCCCATCTGGTGCTCAGCATCCCCCCCAGCCAGGCAGCTCAGAGCAGACAACCCAGGGAGAGGGATCAGAGCCAGTGGGGCTGGGGGACAGCTGGAGCCCCTGAACTGTCCAGTCTGGCTTTATTCATCTCCAGCTCCCATTTATTCCCTGGCTCTGCTTTCCCTGGGATGCTGCACTCAGGGCCTGCCCTGATAAAAGAGGAGGGACACCCCAAACCCCATCAATGAACCCAAAACCATCCCAGGGCTCCAGCTTGGCCCCAGTGCTCCTTGGAGGCTGATAATGAATCAGACACCTGGGGCATGGTTTAATTTTTAATACAATGTATATTTATTGCAAACAATAATATACAAAAAAAAAAAAGGTAAGTTTCACAGAGAGAAGGATCTTGCAAACAAACCAAACCAAACTTACCTAAAGACAAAATATGATTTAAATGACAGGTCTTTTAAGTTACAGAAATACTTTAAAAAGATCTGCTTTTATACAGAAATAGAAAGATGCCATATTATAAGAGTGCTTTAAGATTTTTTTTTCTTCTACTGAATCCCTAAAAAAAAAAAAAAAATTGTTAACAAATATATCATTTTTTTTTTAAATAAAAAAAGTTTGCTGTCTTTTTTAAAAAGCAATCCTTAACTGTTCAGCCACAGCTTCACCAAAGTCAGTGTCCCCCCAGCTCTGAAGGCAGTTTTGGGGGGGATGGAAGGCTAAAACAGAGCCACCCCCAGGCAGGGCTGGGGCCTTGGGTCTCGTCCTCGCACGAGCTCGTGTGTCCCAGAGAGCTGAGGCAGAAAACAAGGCAAATGATTCAGTGATACGCTACATTTGCAATCTTTAGTTTGTACAAATCTTATTTTTTTTTTTCCAGTTCATCCTTAAGACAAAAGAAAAAAAAAAAAAAAAAAGGAAGAGCACAAGTTTGTACAAACCCAGGACACAGATTCCAAAAAGAATAATAATAATAATAATAACAACGACAACAAAAAAAAAAGAATTAAAGAGATAAATAAAGGACTGGTTACAGTTCAAGACCATAATTTAACAGGCACGGTTACCTTCCAAATAATGCTCTGACTAATGCAATCGCTTTTGAAAGGACTTAAAATAGAGGGGAGATCAAAAAAAAAAAAAACCCGAGGAAAATTGTGATTAAAAACTGCTCTTCTCCCAAAATAAATAATTTAAAGTATCTGTGATGTCCTGCAAGCAGAGAGGAGCCCCTGGACGGGCTTTGCATCAGGCCTGGGGTGGCCGGGGGTGCCCGGAGGGGGTCGAGCTCAGCCCCCCCAGCCCAGGGCCAGGCAGAGCTGGGGCCCGGGGATTCCCCCGGGGCTGCTTTAAGGCCTCTCCCCAGCGCCTCGGGCTGGGGCCCAGTTGATTTAAATCTTTTTTTTTTTTTTGTTGTTTTTCTTCCTTAAGGCTCGAGGTTATTAAAAAATAAAGCGGAGAAACTCTTCTCCTGGCTGGTTTTTGCTACGAGTTAGAAAAATAAAGCCTCTCCCATGCTGGTCCCTGCACAGCCTGAGCGCTGCCCAGCGCTGTGCCCGACGCTGCCCACGTACAGAGCTTGGTTCCCAGGTCAAAGCACGCTGGTTTAGTTTTATTTTTAGAGAGGAAAAAAAAAAAAAAGACACTTATCTATACAAAACCTCTGACTGCAAGAAAGCCTAGCGCTGCTCCACTAAGTGTCGTTTTTTTTTTTTTTTTAAGCTGTTGGAAAAATAAGAGCGTCTTAAAAAAATCTCTAAAAAATACGTATAAATCCCCTCGAATTGGTAACGAATCATACACAGTACATACTAAAAATATTTAAAATAGAGAATATTCCTCACAGAGGACTCTGAGTTTTCTCTTTTTTACCCCCCATTTTTTTTTCTTTTTTTTTTTTTTCCTTTAGTTTACTGCTAAAAAAAAAAAAAAATCATTACAAAAGTCCAGAGAACAAGACAGCTGGGTGGGTTGGGTAGGAATCTCCTCTCCATGCTGGAAGCAGAGTTCAAGTCCAGTCCTTGGCAAGTGTGTACCGAGTTTTGCTGGCTCTCAGGCGGGTCCTGGAGGATGCTGTAGTGCAGAAGGCTCGAGGCGCTCTCTCCTCCCCGCCAGCTTTCACTTGAGCGTCTCTTTTTAATTATTATTTTAAATTCAAAGAAGGAAAAAAAAAAATGTCTGAAGGAAGTTCTTCTCGCTGCTTTCACGCTTTTCTGATTTGTTGTTTTGTTTTGTTTTGTTTTGTTTGTTTGTTTTGTTTTGTTTTCGAAATTTCTTTTTCTTTCTCTTCCCGCTTTCCTCCGCGGCTTCAGGGCCTGGTGAGCTGCGTGTAGACGGGCTGTTCCCAGTGCTGCGGGCTGTGGGTCTGGGGGATGGAGGGGACCCCCGAAGTGTCTGCAATGGGGGTGTACATGGGGCGCTGCGTGGGGTTCATGTAGGTGAAGGTGGAGTAGAGGCCGCTGCCCTGCCCCGCCGCGTGGCTGTAGTAGGAGCCGGAGTTCTGGTGGTCGGTGTAGTCGTACTGGGAGCGGGTGATGGTGGGGTAGGACGAGCTGTAGTGCTGCAGGTTGAAGGAGCTGTAGTTGATCTGCTGCGGGGAGTGCTGCTGCTGCTCGCTGTAGTGGCTGGGGCTCAGCTGCTCCGTCTTGATGTGCGTCCTCTGCTGCGCCGCCGGGCCCTGCTCCCCGCTCAGCGCCGGCAGCCCGTGCTGCGCCGGGGGCTGCGGCTGCGCCGGGGGCTGCGCCTGCTGCTTGGACATCCACACGTGGCCGGCGCCGCCCGGGGAGCCCGACGTGCTGCTGATGCCGTAGCTGCCCGTGTAGGTGACCTGGCCGGGCTGGCCGTGCGCGGCCGGGCCCCCCGGGTGCCCGTTGGGAGGCAGGTACTGGTCGAACTCGTTGACGTCGAAGGTCTCGATGTTGGAGATGACGTCGCTGCTCAGCTCCCCGATGTCCACGTCTCGGAAGTCGATGTGGGGGGGCTGCCGGCCACCCTCTTGCAGGGGGCGGCCCTCCCGCTTCAGGTCCTGCTTGCCGGGCTGCGTGTCCGTCTTAGGGGTGGTGGGGGGCGTGGGGGGGCCCTGTGACTGCCCTGTGGGAGGAAGGAAGGGGGACAGGGGTGAGGGGGGTGTCGCTGTGATAACTCAGTTAATGGTTAACCCCCCCACGGGGGGGCAGGGGAACAGCGCCTGCGGTCCTGTGGGGTAACACTTCCAGGTGTGAGGGGCTCAGACATGAGCCCTGTCAGCACCAGCCTACTGCACTGGCTGAAATAACTGAGCCCTCAGACGTGAGCTGTAACGTGGGCCAAGTTTTTAGGGTGCTTTTTATTTATTTGTTTATTTATTTTAAAGCGTAACTTTACGTTTCTCACGTGCACGGGGTGAGGGGGGGGGTGCAAGTGGCTGCAGTGGTACGTGCCCGTGCCAAGGGCAAAGCTTGTGGGCAGCTCTGCCCCCCTTCTCACTGCATTTCTGGGTCTCCTTTTCCCTCCCTTACCCAATCCCAGCCGGTTTGGGCTGCAACTTTTCTTAGGGAGCTGTAGCTGCGCCGTCCCCCCCAAAACGCCTCGTGGGTGCGTGGGTACCTACCCGAGTGCTCCCCGGGGGAGTGCACCTCGCTGATGCTGGAGGACGACTGCGGGGAGTCGGCCTGCAGCGCCTTGAAGATGGCGTTGGGGGAGATGTGGGTCTGCTCCGAGCCCTCCTCCTGCTCCGACTGCCCGTTCTTCACCGACTTTCTCCGCCGCGGCTGGTACTTGTAGTCGGGATGGTCCTTCTTGTGCTGCACCCGCAGCCGCTCGGCCTCCTCCACGAAGGGACGCTTCTCGCTCTCGTTCAGCAGCCTGGGGGGGGGACACGGGGGGTGCGAGGGGTCAGCTGCGGCTCGGGGGGGGCATTAGCGCGTTAACACCAGCTCGCGTCTCTCCCCTGGATTCCCCCGCTGGCGATGCAGAGCCCCCCACGATGCCGAGCCCCCTGCATGGGGCACTCGCTGCTTGTCACCCCCCAGGTTGCTTCAGTGGCCAGGCAAGAGGTGCGGGAGCTGCACCGGGGTCCAGCCCTCGCCCTCCCCACCCCGTGGGCACATGTCCCTGTCCCCGGGTGCTTTGGGGACAGCCCCATCGCTGCCTGCCAGGGCCAGGTTTGCTCACTCATTTCTGCTCCTGCCACAAATTTAGGATCTCCCCCCCCTGCCCCCCTGTGCAGTCACAGAGTGCGCGGCGGCCAGGTGACTCACTTGCCTTCTGTTTTTCTCCCCTCCCTGCCTTATTTTGGCAGTCGGAGGGCACCCGGCCATGCGCCACTCGCCGCCGCCACCCACCCGGAGCTTGGCACCGCCGCCCCCTCCCCGCGCCCCGCATCGCCCCCCTCCCGCACTCCCTCCCCTCCCGGCCCGAGCTGATGCAATCCCCAAACCCATCATTTCCTCTGGACCCGGGAGCACAAACAAACAGCGGCCGGGGCAGCCCCCGCTCGCACGGCCCGGGGGGCTCCGCCAGCCCCCGCACGGTCCCCCCCGCCCCGAGCATCGCTCGGGGAAAAGAAACCGCTTCCAAGACCAGAAAGCGGCCACGGGAAACCGCTTTCCCTACTTTTCCCCTACTATTCTGGCTTCTCCTGCGCCAAACAAGTTCGCCAGCACACGCAAAAGTTTTCAGCGACTCTTGCAGGCTGGGAACATCCTCTGCCTCCCGCGACCGCCGGTCCAGGCTGGAGCGGGCTCTGCAGCCGCAGCCCCCGCAGCATCCCGCGGTCCCCCCCCGGCATCATCCCGGCCCCGCGCTCACCTCCAGAGCTTGCCCAGGGTCTTGCTGAGCTCGGCGTTGTGCAGATGCGGGTACTGGTCCGCCAGCTTCCTGCGGGCCGCCTGCGCCCACACCATGAAGGCGTTCATGGGTCTCTTCACGTGCGGCTTGTTCTTGCTCGAGCCGTTCACCCGCACCGGCATCGGCACCAGGGTCCAGTCGTAGCCCTTCAGCACCTGGCTCACCGCCTCCCGGATGCACACCGGGAACTTGTCCTCGTCGTTCTCCTTCTTCAGGTCCGGGTCCCCCTTGGGGAAGGTGTTTTCTTGGGGTCTGGTGTTCTCCGTGTCCGACCCGGATCCAGAGGGACAGGGGGACCCGGCGGAGTCATCCGACATAGTGGGGCTGGGGGCGTCGGAGATACATTTGTCCTGCTCTTCTGTCATTTTCATGAAAGGGTCGAGGAGATTCATGCGAGAAAGCGGCCGGGGGGGGGATCAAGGGACGAAAAAAAGTTTTGCCTTTTTTTTTTTTTTCTTTTTTTAAGAAAATCGAAAAAGTCGAGCGCTAAGTGGGCGGGGAAGAGTTAAAAAAGGCAAAACTCAGGGAGAAACGAAGCGGCAGCTTCGAAACCAGCGGCGGGAGAAAGAAAGAGCCGGCAAAAAAAAAAAAAAAAAAAAAAAAAAAAAGTCGGCGAAAACTTTTTATTACATTTCAGTCAAAAAAAAAAAATATTAAAAGCAAAAAGACAAAAAAAAAAAAGCGAAAAAACCCAAAAAACTCCAGAACGAGGAGGAAGGGGTAGAAGAGGAAACTTTTTCTCGCCTTCGCGGAGCGGTCGCGGGCCCGTGTAAGGGGGTGGAGGGGAAGGGAGGGGAGGGGCAGCCCCGCCGGTCTCCAGCGCGGGCTCTGCGGCCGCGGCGCGGGGCCGCGCCTTTAAATAGCCCCGCGCGGGGCCGCGCGCGGGGGCGGGGGGGCCGCGCTCGGCCAATGGGAGCGCGGCGCGCGGGGGCCGCGGCCGCCGCCATTGGCCGGGCCCCCCCGCGCGCGCGCGCGGAGGGGGCGGGGCCGCGGTGCTGGGGGGGGGGACACACGCGCACACACGCGCGGGAGGGGCCGCGGGAGCGCGCACGGGACACCCCCCTTTACCCCCCCCATCCCATCCCATCCCAGCGCCGCAGCTCCCGGGAAAGCAGCAGCGGTGGGCAGAGCGGAGCGGGGGGGAACCCCCCCCTCTATCCCGTCCCGTCCCGTCCCATCCCATCCCACCGCTGCTGCTTTCCCGGGGGGGGGTCCCCGCCAATTCCCCCCGCGGTGGCGGCGGGACCCGCGCCCGTCCCGAGAGGGCGCCAGAGGCTCAGGAACGGCGCAAAGGGAGCGGGGGAGGGGGGTGCGGGGGTGTCGGTCCGTCCCGTCCCGGTGCCGCCCCCGCTGGGGCAGAGGGGGTGGGGAACCCGAACTACCCCGAAAATACCTCGAATCGCTTTTTTCTTTTTTTTTTTTTTCTTTTTTTTTTTTTTTTTTTTTTTTTTTTTTTTTTTTTTTTTTTATTTTTCTGTTTTTTAAAACTTTTTTGGGGGGCGTCCGGCGCGCCCCCTCCCGCGCTGCGACACCCCCCCCGCGTCCTCCTTTATTATTATTATTATTATTCCTCTTTATAACTCTATTTATTTATATGTTGATATAATATTATTGTATATTTTTTCTTCTATATCTATTTCTCAGCCCAGTGGTCCCGTCTCGTCCTTCCCCGCGGGGCCGGACCGGGCTCGGCTGCTGTGCGGTGTGGGACCCGCATCCCGGTCCCGCATCCCTTTCCCGCATCCCTTTCTCGCATCCCGGTCCCGCACCAGCCCAGGCTGGAGACCCTGCGGTGGAAGGAGCGGCCTCCCCCCTTCTTCTTCTTCCCCCCCCCCCCCAAAAAAAAAAAAAGTTTTGCCGAGTTGACCAACTTTTTGTCATCGAAACAAACCAACAAAAGCGAAGGAGCGCCGGGAGCTTCCCGGCGTTATCTGTGGATAAGCGCAAATATTTCAACAGAAATAATCTTTATGGATTTCTGTGGATCACACGGTCTCATTTTCATTAGCAAACGGCTCTTCCGCGCGGATAAGGATTAAACCTGAGGGATGCTGGCGGCGGAGGGGTCACTCTGAGGCATTATCTTGGTGGGCAGTAAAGCAGATCCCGTTTTTAAGGTTCCAGGAGAGGGGGCTTTGGTGGGAGCTGTTGAGTGCGAAGGCAGCTCCAAAGCTGCCCCCCCTTCCCGCCTCCCTCCGCTTCGCCCTGGGCTCCGCAGCGTGTTCGGGGGGGAGAGACCTTCGACCGGTTCTCCCTTTACAAACTGCGCAGCCCATAATTTTTCATTTCAACTCGAACGTTAAAGTTGGGGCTTTATCGAAGCTGCTTTAATTTGCTGCTTTAATTTGCAGCCTTTGTCCCGCCGGACAAACCTCGGGGCAGCGGCCGCTCGGGGCCGTGTCCCGGCGGGGATCCCGTATCGCGATTGTCGCCGTCACCTTAACGAGGGGGTTTGAAGGTATTGGAAACGGCACGTGAAAAAAAAAAAAAGTCTATTAAAAAAAAAAAAAAAAAGAAAAGAAAAAGGCAGCAGGGAAGGAGCTCCGAATAAATGCAGTAGAAACCCTCTCCCTGGTAGACCCTGGTTGTCTTTAGCTTTCCCTGAGATTATTATGATGATTATTATTATTATAATTTTTTTTTTTTTGCTTGCAAACTTTTGGGAAGTAGTTTTTTCTTTGGGTGAGTTTAAAGGTAAGTGTCTGTCCTCTTTCCAGAGCCTTTGTCTGAAGGAACAGGGGGACTGTGGGGTTTTTCTTCATGAGAATTTGGGGTTTCTTGTGCCTGAAACAGGGAGGACGCTTTTCCCAGCATTTTATTTCTTTACTTTGCTAAATATTCAGTGGTCCTGGAGAAGATCCGCTGAGTTTTGTATCGTTATTTGCAGTGAAACGGGTAAATTTAGAGCAAAAGAGGTAATTCTGAATGGTTTTCCCTTGGTAATTTTGGCTCTAGGCTAGTGCATGATGGAATTTAGCTCAACAAATCTCGTTTAATATATGTGTTTGTTATAGGACATCAAAGAAAAGGCAGGCAGTAGATTGTTCTTATCTCAGCTGGAGCTGCTGTAGCAAAAATCTGAACAAATGTACCTGGAGGAGAAAAATATGGTGACAACAGATTGTTCCATGGCTTTGCTGCTGATTGGCAGAGATAAACAGGAGAACAATTTGAAAGGATAATTGATTTAATGAAAAGTGTAATAATTAGAACATTTTTCATTCTGAAAGTCCATCTGCTGAAAGGGACTCTGCCTTTTCATCCCCGAACAGCCTGTTTTAACCAAAGAAAGTGGTTTGACAAGTTTGAACAATAAACAAAAGAGAAATGGGAAAGAGCTTTCCAGTTATTGTGTGTGATTTTATAATTTCTGGATTATTATTTTTAATTCCTGTTCGATGGACTATTTAGACAACGTGGACAAGCTGATTAATCACAGTCGTTTTGCAGGGTTAGAAGTTTCCTTTGGAGCGGCTGAGCTGTTGCTGCTTTCCCGTCAGGATTGAAGTTTTCTTTTCTTTTGAAAGAATTAACATTGTTTTACCCTAAGTGGCGAGCTCAGATATCAGGAAAGATTGTTAGCGAGGATTAGAGCCCTCGTTTGATGGCTTTTTTCCTGCCTTGTGCTAAATCAAATCACTGTTTTTTAGGAAATAATCTTTCCAAGTGGAGTGGAGGAGACAGGAGTTTGGGCAGCAGAGGGAACAGCACCGTGTGGGGCTTCTGGGGGAGGTTTTTCTCTCAGAACTTATGGTGTTGATGCGCCTCAGATCAGCTGTGCTGGAGTAAGATCTGATTTATTGGTGTTTGGTGGCATCTGGGGGGTTTGATCCAGCTCCCTGGTGAAGTCCAGCCTCTCCTCCGGCCCCCCCGGCCGTGGGGTGGGTGTTGGACGGGTGGCGGCTTCACCAGGGATGTTGTGATGTCATCCCGTCCCTCTGACCTCACACAGGCCAGCGGTGCCTCCGTGTCCCGCCACGAATCCTCCAGGGGGTGAGAAATCCAGGGAGAAGCTGGTGCTGCCTCCCAGTCCCGGGAAAGGCTTTTTGCGACGGGCGCAGAACGGGAAGGTTTGGCTTAGAGGGGAATTCTCTGAAACAAAAGCATTCCCGCAGCCTCTCTCTCAATTTCGATACCAAAACTCTGTCACTCACTGATCAGTGCCACGAAACGTGAAATTCCAGATGGGGCCGTGCCTTTGGATTCATCCGGGATGGTTTTCCCCCGTGCCTTTGGACGGGGCTCTCGGCAGGGGAGGTGCTGAGTGCAGGGCAATAATTATCACCCTCTGTCACCCCCTCCCAAACAGGGCCATTTCCCTCGGGGTGGGAGCAGTGCTGCATCCCACCCACCACAGCAATGCTCCCACACTTGGGCTTTTCCCCCTGTGCTGCAGGAGGGCTGTGAGCCGGGAGGGCTCAGCCCTGTCCTCTGTCGCTGCTCAACGTTCTCCTGCGCGGCACAAACCCTCCGTGTTTGAGCCCATTTTTCTCCCATCCCCTTTTCCCAGCCGTGGTCGGGCCTCCAGGGCAGGGCCTCCAGGGCAGGGATCCCACGTCGTGCCAATCCAGGTGTTACTGCCTTAAGTGCCAGAAGAGTTCCTGCTGCAGGGATGAAACCTGTGCTCTGTTTTTGGGCTCACCTGCCCGAGAGCTGTGGCACCATTCCCAGGACACGGGGTTGGTGTTGAACCCCTTCTGAGGCGGCCCTTGACACCGTGTCATATTCCAGCTGGTCCAGAGGTGTTGAACACCTCTGCCACGGCCTCCCCAGCGGGGTTTGCACAGGGTTGCCCTTTTTTGTCCTGTATCTATTTATTTTTCAAAAGCCTCAGCGTTTCTCAGGCACATTCTGGCACGTCCTTATCAGAAGGTCATTGCACAGTGAAAAAAAAAGGAGATTAAAGGGCAGTAGCCAATGGGTGACGTACCAGGGGCAGAATTGTCTTTGATTTTGTAAATCCAGCTGAGAATTCCATAGTATTTGATATTTATGTCATTGTATTAATTTTTAAAGTTTATTTTTCTGCCTCGTCGTGCTAATACACGGCCCTCAAAAGCTGCTGCGCCCTGAGCTGGAGACAACACGGTGTGTGATTTAAGCTTGACAAATCCTGGCCTGGGAATGGGTGAGAAAACCAGTGGACAGGCATTTTTTCCCCCTTTTTCTGTATATGAGGTAGCCAGGAGCCTGAAGACTCCAAGGCAAGTGGCTGAAAGATATTTGGTTTTAATTCATGCCTAAAAATCCTACCCTGATGGACTCGCTCTGTGGAGTGAAGTGAAAGAAGCTGAGGAGTTTCGGAGCAATAATCCCGGCGCTGTGGTGAAATGATCCCGATTATTTCCAGGCTGGGTGGCAGCGTTAATGTGACCACGTCTGTCTGTTTTAGCTATTAAATACCTGCACACTCATCGGGGCTGGTCCAGCAGCA